AAAAGATGTGTGTGGGGGGGGTGTGCGTGTGCGCACACGTATACATGTGTGATGGGCAGGCATGACTAAACCCCCGAGCTGCCGTGAGGCCCAATGACCCCAGGCCTCAAGCGTTCTAGACGAGTGCTCCAACACTGTGCAAGCCCTGCCTGCTGTCCTGCCCCACACAGAGGACAAGTGACTGTGTGAGCTAGTGAAGAGACAGTCTCAGGAAGTCACCCAGCCTGGCCTTGAACTCACTGAGGTCAGGCAGACTGTGATCATTCTCTTGCCCCAACCTCCTGAGCAGCTGGGGTCACAGGTGGGCACCGCCACGCCCCATCGATGGGCACTTTTTCATGTCCTGCTGCACTGGAGGGTGACTGTGGGTGACAATAACTAAGCACTTCTAAACGGCCAGCAGAGGATTCTGAATAGTCCCAGCACAGAAATAATCAGCGCTGAGGTGGCAGGTTTAGGGATGACACTGATCATACATTGTGGACATGTACTGAAATGGCACACAGTACTTCATACAGATGTCACATGTCAAATAAAAGTTAAAAAATGCAACACTAGAGAGAACTGAGGTAGTAAGTCTGCCTTAGTTTATTGTAAAATTAAGATAAAAATTCACTTTTCTGTGGTTTTATATTTTTAGGATTTTTAACATCTGGGCTTGTAACTTTTATAATCAGAAAATAATAAAGAATATAATAAAGTTAAAAACAATATGGGATTAGTCCATGATAGAAAAGCATAAAAAAGAGCCACATTAAGAATTAGCATTATGAATTGGGCGGTGGTGGCGCACGCCTTTAATCCCAGCACTAAAGAGGCAGAGGCAGGCAGTGGATCTCTGTGAGTTCAAGGCCAGCCTGGTTCCAGGACAGCCAGGGCTGTTACACAGAGAAACACTGTCTCGAAAACAGAACAAAATAAAACAAAACAAACAGACAACCCCCCACCCCCACCCCCACCAGAAAAAAAAAAGATTAGTATTACTGGGCTGGAGAGATGGCTCAGTGGTTAGAGTACTGACTGCTCTTCGGAGGACCCAGGTTCAATTCCCAGCACCCACATGGCAGCTCATATACAGCAGTTACCTGTCTGTAACTCCAGTCCCAGGGCTTCTGACACCCTCACACAGATATACACTCAGGCAAAACACCAATGGTCATAAAATTAAAAAAAAAAAAAACAACCCAGCATTATGCTGGGCCTTTCGTCCCAGCACTCAGAAGGGGAAGCAGAGACATAGATCTCTGGGAATCTGAGGCTAGTCTGGTCTACACTGTGATTTCCAGGACAGTCAGGGCTGTGTAAAGAGATCCTGTTTCCACCTCCCCCACCCCCACCCCCATGAAGTGCATTATGGTAATCCCCCAAACGTGCCCTTTTTATTCTTCACATGGTGGAGCACCTTCCTGCCTCTGTGGTTTGTTTTTGTCGCCGATCAAAACCAACACTGTATTCTCTGCTGCTTCTCTCCAAACACATAAAATTATTCGGACACTTCTTTCTCTCCTTTAGTGGCCTGTTTGTTAACAAATCAGGACCAATTTTCAAACTCCGAAATGGTCAACTTTATTTGATGTACTGTCCAAATCAGCCCTCTGTCTGCCAGGCAAACAGATAAATCACAAGGTGCACAGGGCCTCCTCCTCCTCCCCCACGCTTGCTCAACAAGGAGACTGTACAACCTGCTGGGGCCTTCGAGCAACGGAAGGCTGCGATCCGCCTGCTCCTCGTCCCCTAGGAATGTATGACACCCAGGAGGCTCAGTCTGTGGATGGCTCTCTACCCCCAGGGTCTCTGTCTTCCTCTGGATTCAGGGATGAAAGTGGATTTGCAGTCTGTCCCTTCCCTTGTGATGGCTGGGTAAACAGACTCTCCCACCTTGTCAGGGCCGCCTCTCTTCTCACTTTCCATACTTCCTTCAGGGACTGGATGCCCTGTGACTGCGGCCGCCGTCCCCACGGGCCAGCGCCTCTCCCGCAGCACCATCCATGATTTCCTGGAGGCTTTCCATATACTTCCTATTTGCTGTAACTCCAGCTGCTCAGCCCACAGACCTGCTCCTTCTGCATTCTTGGTGAGAAATTTGTCATCCCGAACTCTTCCTTCTCCTTCACGCTCCAGCTCAGTCACCAGTTTGTCTCGATGTGTCCCACAGTTGCTGCTGTGACGGACTGAGTGTTTGTGTCCTCCCGAGTTCCCATGTTACAGGCCTAACCGCTGCATTTGGAGATGTGGCCTTGGAAGAAGTAATGTCGGTGCCATGAGGTTATAGACGCGGGCCCTGACTGGATAAGGTAGTGTCTTTGTAAGAGGAGAGAGGTACGTGAAGGTGCTGCTAGAAGGTGGCTATGGTTACCACCAGGGTACACACCACACACCTGTTATCCCAGAATTCTGGAGGCCAGAGACAGAAGGGTGGTGACCTGGGGGCTGGGTTACACAGTAATACCTTGCTTAAAAAAAAAAAAAGCCAGGACATGCCCAAAGCCCCCAAACAAAACCAAACCACCAGGCAGCCAAGCAAAAGGAACAGAACAGTAGACACCAAGACAGCCTTCATCAGAAACCAATCTTTTATTCTTTGTTTTTCGAGACTGCCTTTCTCTGTGTCCTGTAGACCAGGCTGGCCTTGAACTCACAGACGTCTGCCTGTCTCTGCCTCCCCAGGATCAAAGGCGTGTGCCACCACTGCCCGGCTGGCACCCGATCTTGACAGCATCCTGGCCTTGGGCGTCAGCCTCCACAGCTGTGAGAGCCATGTCCCTGCTGTTTAAGCTCCCATGTCTGGGATTTGTCATGGCTAACCAACCAAGTAGCAGTCCTTTCCCCTCCATCGTCCACCACCGCCCTAGGGCAGCCCAGACACCCGTCCTCCAGGCTGGCTCCTCACCGCCTCCCCAGCAGCCCAGTAACCCCGTCCTCCAGGCTGGCTCCTCACCGCCTCCCCAGCAGCCCATCACTAGGAGTCAGGTAAGAATAGGGTGAACTGGGTTCTTGAGCTGCCAGTGAAGTACAAACTTCAACAGGCTGTTTCACTGTGTGTCAGCAGGTTCCCTGTAAACAAGGCCAGTACCAACAGGATTGTCTCAGCAGGGACAAGTATTCACTACGGTGCCTGGCCCACTACTTATAGTGGATGAGGGTTAGCTATTACTACTATCTTAAAAAACAACAACAACAAAACCCCACAAAAAATCAAGGAGAAGCTGAGCTAGTTAGGAAGAGGAAAGGGATGAGCAGGAGTGGAAGGGGAAGAGGGGAGAATGGCTGAGTATGATTGAATGCTTTCTTTTTTTTCTTGGTTTTTCGAGGCAGGGTTTCTCTGTGTAGCTTTGAGCCTGTCCTGGCTCTCGCTCTGTAGACCACGCTGGCCTTGAACTCACAGAGATCCACCTGGCTCTGCCTCCCAAGTGCTGGGATTAAAAGCGTGTGCCACCACCGCCCGGCGACTGAATGCTTTCTGTACGTATACAGATGTCCTAATGAAATGCATGTATTAATGTATGCTAATAAGAACATTTTTATAAAACAAAATGGATGTAACTGAGGAACCATAGCTGAAGTTGACCTCTGGCCTGCACATTTACTCATTCTTACATACCCTTAAACATATACACACAAAGACATGTCTGACCTGCTGAAATTATTTTGTTCATTATGGAAATGAATTTGCACATATACTGGGTTATCAAAAAATTTTTTTTGAGATTTTATTATTATGTGTAAGGGTGTTTTGCCCGAGTGTCTGTCTGTCACTCTGCCTGAGGTAGAGGAGGATGTGAGAACCTCTGGAACCAGAGTTACAGATGGCTGTGAGTGATCACGGGAGTGCTGGGAACTGAACCGGGTCCTCTGGAGAGAACCAGCGCTGTTAACTGCTGAGTTCTCCAGCCCGGCTCTTCCCGTCTGTCACATTAGTAGGATAAGCCTAGAGCACCACGCCGCTCATGCCCTTCCCAGGCTGAACACCAATGCTCTCCCCACCACCGAGACAACCCGCAGTATGACCCGGAGGCTCCATTGTACTTGCAAACGGCACTACCGAGCTCAAGTGAAGGCCCCACTTCCACGCCGCTGTCACACCCACTGCCCCCAGTTCCCAGGCTTGTCCTCTACTTCAGTGTTCTCGCTCTCTGCTTCAGCTGGCTGACGCCTGCTCCTTCTCCTGCCTTCCACTCATGCACTCCCTCTCAAAGGCCCGTCCGACCCTCTCAGTTTGGGTTCAACGGCTCTTTTCCTGCTGTGTGCAAATGTGTGCATCTCTCACCTACCACACTGCCCTGTGTGTGCAAACGTGTGCAACTCTCACCCACCACACTGCCCTCTGTGTGTGCAAACGTGTGCAACTCTCACCCACCACACTGC